CCCTCTCTCCCATCTCATACGAAATAAAGTTCTCAACATCAAGGGCTTTATGGAAAGACGAGAGACGTGGGAGAGAGAAACAATTCATAGGGAAAGACAAATCCATCATTGAAGATTGGAGGAAGAGGATTGGAGATTGGAGAAAGATCAACATCATAGATGAACAGGGAAGGACTATAGCTGGGTTCTTGTAAGTTTTATGTGCAATTTAATTTATGCAAAGATCCATGTTCTATGAATTGATAGAATTACATGCTTAGGGTTTATTCAATTCCGCCTAATAATTATGGATATACCCGTTAAATTTCTTACACACCACACAAACTTAGGAAAAGGAAGTGATCATTTTGCTCCATGCCCAACATTATAGTACGTATATGGTTCCTACTACGGGCTGTCTTATTTAGACATGACCATAGGTCACCCGGCCTGCTGACCCGGCCCGGACCCGACACGAACCCGACCCAGTCAAACCGGTTGACCACGGGTCCGCCCGACACGGATTCAAACGGGCCGGTCAAAGGTCATGTTTTTTTCGACCTTGACCCGGTGGTCCGTGTCGGCACGCAAAAATGCATTGCTTTTGAACTTTTTTCTTTTTTTTTTTAATTTTCTTTTATGTGGCCGGGTCCAAACCCAGGTCGGGCCCAGCCCGGCCCGTCGGGTCATGGACCCGACACGACCCTATGTCCGTGCCGGTTCAAGGTCGTCAAAACCCAACCCGATGGCCCGACTTTTGGCCATGTCTAGGCTTATTCAGTTTTTATACATACATGTTATGAAACTTTTCATTGTACACATATCTAGTTATACGAAAGACATGAAAGGTTTGGAAGCATGGGCGAAACTAGGAAATTATTTGAGAGGGGCAAAAGACAGGACAAATAATTTGGGGATGCAAAAAATAATTTAAGAGAGGAACAAATTAAAATTTTTAATTATAAATGTAAAAGAAATTAAAATTTGAGGAGGGACTAGTGATATATGTAGTTTTGCCCCTTTTTGGAAGCCTATTTATAGTGTTTTTTCTTTAATAATACATGGATATAGAGAGTGTATTCTCATTAAAAATATGTACTTTGCATAAAAAAGTTGTTGAAAGCTAAATTGTATTAAAACTTAACATTTCTTAGTATTTAAATATGTTAATTCAATAAGAACCCATTTTTTTTTTTTTTGGCTATTTCCAAACTCTGGATTTTCATTAAATATATAACTATTTTATAATTTATAATCAATTTACAACAATTTAGTTTATATCTAATATACCGTAAGTTAAACATAATTACAGGTATATTTCAATTTAGGTATCCCATGAGAATTGTAAAATATTTTTTTTTAAGAATTTTTTTTTTTTTTAAAAAGAAATACACAATTTTCTACATAAAGTGATAATATTTAAAGGTAAAATTTTAATGTCTATTTAATATTTATGTACTTCGTTCTTTATGTAACATATAGATAGATAAAAAATTGTTAACTCACAGTTGATCCTTAATTTCCCTACCATCTCCAACCGAATACACCATACTCAAACCCATTTTGCAGTAATTTATCTCCATTCGAAAAACTCGTTCTCCAACCCAAAAGAATATTCTCTTTTACATCAACTTTTACAACTTTTCAATACTATCCACATATTTTACAACTTTACAAATTAAACCACACTATTATTTTTAATTCAATTTAGACTTTATGTAATAAACTAATTATAAAGTAATAATCATATACATAATAAAATCAGAGAAATAAATAGTCATTAAAAATTAAAATTTAAAAATTACAATATACAATATAATATTAATATTAGAAATTACAACGCACAAGATGATAAATTAAAAATTACAACGCACAAGATAAAATTAAAAATTACAATGCACGAGATGAGAAATTAAAAATACAACACACAAAATAAAATTAAAAATTACAACGCACAAGTAATATTAATGTCTTTTTTATTTGTTAAATTAGTAGCCTTTTTAATATTAATATAATATGGTTTGTAACTTTTTTTAAATACTAATAATATATAATAAAAACAAAATAAAACAATATTTAACTTAACAATAATTTATAAATATATTTATTAAATGTAAAATTTAACTTATAAAAGATTAAACATAATTATTATATACTATATATATAATAGGTGGGGTATATTGGGATATTGTTACAGAAATAAGGGTTAATTTGGATGTAATTTGAAAAAATTCAAACGCATAATTTGCGATCAGACGCAAAATTGCGTCGGAAGAGAGGAGAGAGAGGGTGGAGACGCATTTTGGAGTTGCGTTTCCAGTATCCTTGGAGCAAATTGAACTGCAAAAATTGGTTTTGCAGTTCAATGGTATCATATTCCTTTCTCCTTTTGTATCCACTCATACAACTCATCACACATATATACCAGTTGCATAGGAAATTAAATTTGAAAAAGCGGACAATTGTATTTGCCGTTTATTTTTATTTTTATATTCAATTTTGATTGTGATTTTAGAAGGTCAGTTTTGCTATAGAGTCATCGGATGACTCAACTTATGGAGTCATCCTATTAATTCATCAATAGTGTATTGACACGTGTTCTGCAATAAATACAATTTGAACAGATGTCAATAGAATTTTTCAAAAGTAGAAATAGTTAATGCTGCATTCCCTCTAATGGTGTATATAGATTTCGGAAGCAGACAACAATTTATGTTTTTTTTTTTTAGTGATATAGATTAGCTTACTACTCGTGAATACACGAGGTTTCTCAAACAATAATAATTTTCCAAACTCTTATAAGATTGATTGATTATGTTTTTTTTTTAATTATGAAAACTGACGGTTTTACTATGGAGTCAGTTGGATGATTCGACTTATAAAGTCATCCACAATTATTCACAAATGATGCATTGACACATGTTTTGTAATAAATATACATTGGACGTGTCATCACTCCATACAACATGTGCTAAATTGAAAAACTATAGATATAAATCATATCAATTTAGAATTCATCATAACTTGTAATATTTTTTTTTATTATTTATTTATATCATATAATATAAAAGTTAATTCCTATATGGATTATTTCGAATAAAAGAATCTACGTGGCTGTATAGGAAGAGGCATTATTATATATAGATTAAAACGATATAAAGTGAATGGGAATCGTAGTATTAGAATATTCACTTGTGAGTTGTCTCACATCATTTATATAGAGAAAATAAGCTTAATGGACTATTCATCTTTCGACCAATTGATTTTAGGATTGAACCCCACTTGAGTTTCATCTGAGCTTTCTATGTCTTAGTGCGATCAGTGTGGGACCGCACTTATTTTTCCACGTAGCAAGTAAAATGAAACTAAAAATAAAAAAAGTGTTCACAAAGAGCATTCACCACATAAAATTCAACCGGGCAACCAGAATTGATTCGAAGTGCAAATGAAGATGGGACCAAAAAAGGTTGTTCACAAATAGCATCCACCACATATATAAAATTCCACAAAGGAGCATGCTGATTTTAATTAATTAATTTTAGAATAAATAGGTCGCACCATTAGTCAAAGTTTTATCTTAACGTTTTCCTAGTAATAATTCTCACCATGCCATTAAATTAATCTAACCATCATTTTATGCTAATATAATTGTGGTTGTTTTTTTTTTCCCCTTTCCCGGCTGTCTATTTACTGTTACCTCGACACGTAAACAAAAACAAAAGCATGTGGTGTGGAAAACGAACAGTTA